CCTAAACGCAACTCTTGCAGAAATCCTGTCTCAGTCCTTGCCCAAATGTCAAATCCAGTACTATAATTTTGCTTGCAGAAGGCATTGCGCACACCTCATTCTGACTTCCATTAGTTTATGTCTTGCTTGAGCTAGTTGCTCTGCTAGCATTTTTTGCAATACCAAATCTTGTAATGTTTGGATTGGTGAAATGTCAAATATAAATTTGACTAGTTTGCATTACTGGGATTCAGTCAGGACAGGCTCATTTGCTTTTTAAAATGTTGTTCTGTTCTGTTCTGTTTTGTTCTGTTTTGTTTTGTTGTTATAAACAAACCAGTCAAAAGTTCCCTGCCCCTTATAGTTCAAAAGCTGGATACAGAAGATAAGATTTATTCCATCTAATGTGGGGATGGGATGGAGAACAAACATTGTCTAGTTTGTTTCCTATTCTAAAATGACTGAATTCTTTTTGCATCTGTCACACATCTTCCTGATTTTTTTAAGCTCAAAGTTTATTTGACTTTGCTTGAACCCTTTTCATGCATATTCTAGAGGGTAAATTTGCTTGGCCAGAACCCTTTGGTGTTACTTTTTAAGATCTTGACTCAGTGCCTGCTTTGCCCCACAATTATATGTTATGTGGGGGGGGGGGGAGTTGATTTTGGCATATCATTTTCATTGTTAAAATAGTATTAAACTGCTTTTAAGCTTTGGGACACAATTTTGATCAGGCACAGCCTAATCATAGGGGGAAATGAAGGAAAAGCCAAAAGGTTGCTTTCTTGTTGAGCTCCAAGAAAAGTGCTTTTGCAGGGTTTTTGAAGATAGCAGCAACTTCTGGCTTGCTGATATCCCCACATTCCAGCGAGCAAGACTGCAAGTGTTTTGATTTCCACCAGCTGCTAGGACATAGTTGTGAAAGAAAGGGGAAAAGTGACATACATTAAACATGAAGACTACTTGGTAGAAAAAAAGAAACTTTGCTGGACAGTTTTTCATACTGTCGTGTGTTACTATTATGCTGCTACACAAAAGATAAAAGGCATGCCAGGAAAGGCAAGAATGTAAAATTTTGATTTTCTAAGAAAAACAAAAAACAACTGGGATTAGTTCTGTTCCATCATGCAGAGTAAGGCTTGGTTTGTGGAGTCACATTGGGCTATTCGTGTCTCCTCCTCTTACATTTGTTAAGACTTTTGCTGTATCAATCTAGCAACTGTATCTATTTATTGAACCCAATAAAGCCATCTTCTTATCAGTGTTTTAAAACAGATACAAACAAGATCTATTGCCAGAAGAAAACAACTACTCTCCAGCATATTCCTTAGTATTTCTTGCATTAGTCACTTGATTAGATATGTCAGCAACTGTGCTCTACTTTGGATTGATTTATACTCAGGGCTCTTGCTAGTTTTCTGTCTCCCTAAATGCCATGAGCCCATGTCTACATGGCAAATTCTGCAGCATAAAGAGCTGTCTAGGCAACTTGGTGCATAGCGCATCACGAGGAAGAGAAAGACCAAGCTGGTGGCTGTCATAGGCCAATCCAGAGCCAATTTATTTATGTAGAGGCTGCATGCCCATTATAGAAACACAGTTTAAAGTGGTACACATTTTAAAGTTGGTATCTGCATTTCCAAAATCATAAAAGGGATCTTCCAGTATCCATAGTTCTTCTTTTCGGAAGCTGCCTGCAAGCTTAACATTTTTCAGATGTGGAATTGCTTGAAGGCTATAATTAAATACAAGATGAAAGAAATAGAGTATGCTTAAACAAACAACATCTTCCTGTGAACTAGTGTTAAGCAATTGAACAATAGTAGGTGCATGTGTGACTGTGGATGAGAGAAATGCAGGCACTATCAGTAGTTTCACATAGAACGATCCCCAAGAATCAGCAAAAGCAACAAATACAGAAAGATGAACAGAATAGGCATATACTTAAATAAACAAGAGGCAGCTGCTTGCTAGCCAGTCTACTTGTTAGCTTTTCTGCCAGTCTCCATGGATGTTCCATGCCATGACTGTAACATCTACTGTGATTGATTGAATGAAATCCTATATAAAAGCAGAATAATCAGTTGCCATCAGTCTGCATTCCTGCCCATTTTCATTTGATGTTAAGGCTTTTTCAGAAAGCCACTCACTCTACATCTTCAGTGCGTTGCCTAGCTGAAGTTCCAACAATTGGTTGCCATTTAGGTGTATCACCATGCTTAGTATAGAATGCTAACACATGGAAAGAGGAGCCAATATTGCCTTTTGATACTTAGCCTCTTAGCAGGCATGACTGACCAATCCACAAAGCATGGATTTAAGATTGCAAGATCAGTTAAAACCACGTATAATGACATTGAAGTCACTTCCACAGCATATCATATAGTTGTGGCTGAATCTGCCCAAGCAGCCTCTCAAAACCTTACCAAGACACTTTTGGCTTCCTTGTCATCTTTGTTGGTGTGAGGCTTTGATGAGTTCCACATGAATTCCAGGAATTAAGTCTCTTATTTCCAGAAATGGTCAAAGGCTATTCAGTATATTAAGGCAAAGAAAGGGTACATCACCCACTAGTTCAACTGATGTTTCCCTTTCTTATGATGGAAATAACAGTGAGACATTTTGCTGATAAGAATATAAAAGTCTTGCTGGATCAGACTGAAACCCTATCTAGTTCAGCATCCTGTTTCCCACAGAAGCCCATGAGAAACCCACAAGCAGGACATGCTGGCAATAACAGACTCTCACTGTTGTTCCATAGCAACTGATGTTTAGAGGCATGCTGCCTCTGATCTTGTGAGTACAATGTAGCCATTATGACCAGCAGTCATTGACAAACCTATAATCTAATCCTTTTAAAGCAGAAGCAGGGAACCTCTGGCCTGGGGGCCAGATCTGCCCCTTCAAATGCCCCCATCTGGCTTTCCTAGGTTCCCCAGATGGTCATGTCCCCCCTGATCTACACCAGGAACAAAACATGGCTAGTTGATTCCTGTTAGTTTTACTAAACTGCTTATCAGCTTTCCATGCCATCAGCTGTGGTATCCTTCTAGATCACTGGGCTGGAATAGGGCTTGGAGCACATGAACACTGTAGGCATGGCATAGTTGTTCATTTGAGTTTGACAATTATGATTATCAGTCAAGTTATGGTATTGTAATTCCATAACTTCTATCAGTCAGTTCCATAACCTGTACTGCTCAAGGTTTCCGAAAAAGTGCTCGAACAGATTTGTTCAACCACTTCCAAACTGAGAGAAAGGGAACAGGGAGATGGTTAATTCCTCCTTGCAATAAGGAGAGGCCTTGGGCTATTTGATATAAACTGTGGCGAGACCACTTCTGAAGAAGTCCTCCCTGGACCCATAAAATATTAACAATTTTAGATCAGTGGTGGTTCTTTGCTGGAGCAAGGTCCTTGAGAAGGTGGTTAGTAACCAGCTCCAGATGCTCTTGCATAAGACTTGATTCATTCCAGTCAGACTTGAGGCAAGGCACGGAAACAGCCTTGGTCACTGTATATTGAGAGAGAGAGAGAGAGAGAGAGAGAGAGAGAGAGAGAGAGAGAGAGAGGCAGTGTCCTTCACCTGTCAGTGGCTTTTAATATAATCAACTTATGGATTCCTTCTGAGGTGACTGTGGGAGGGGGCACTGTGGTGGTTTTACTCCTCCTTGGGTGGTCGGCTCCAGAAGGTGGTGCTTGGCCATGGATTCTCTAGTATTGGATTGCACGGGAATCAGTTTTGTTCCCTGTGCTATTTAACATCTACATGAAACCACTATGTGGGGTCATCTGATGTTTTGGAGTGTATTGTCATCAGTATGCTGATGACACGCAGCTCTACTTCTTTTGAAATTCATCAGGTGAGGCTGTGGATGTGATGGATCACTATCGGCCTGTGTCAATAGACTGGATGAAGATTAATAAACTGAAACTCAATCTCTCAAGATTGAGATGTTGTTAATGGGTGGTTCTTTTCCCCAGGTAGTAGGGGTTCAACCTGCTCTGGATGGGGTTGCCTCTCCTTGAGAGTTCATAGCTTGTGGGTTCTTCTGCAGCCACCATTGTCACTTGAGGCTCAGTTGGCCTCACTAGCACAGAATGTCTTCTACCAGCTTTGACTAGTGGCTCAGCTCTGACTCTTTCTGACCTGTTTTCTTTGCCTGTGCTATGGTGACCGCCAAGTTAGATTACTACCATGCATGCATCTGACTTTGAAGATCTAGTATGAAGGTTCAGAAAACCTCCAAACACAGCAGCAGACAGCTAACAGGGACCAGAAGGTCTAAACATGTAATAGTGATTCTGGACTACTTACTGGCTGCCTATATGTTTTCAAGATCAATTCAAGGTGATGTTTTTGACCTGTAAAGCTTTACATAGCTCGGGACCATATTGATGGAGTGCCTCCTTTGGCATGAACCTCCCCATACTCTAAGACTATCATCTAAGGGTCTCCTCTAGGTGCTTCCTCTCAGGGAGATTTGGGAAATGACAATGAAAGAAAGGGCCTTTTTTGATGGTGGCTTTCCAATGTTGTTTATTATTTTTTCATACCATTTTCTCTCAGGCATTTGTAAGCACATGATGACTTTTCATTAGGTCTTGAACTTTTCGTGTCGATTGTTCAAAATTATTTTTAGATGTGTGTTTCTTGGTGTGTTGTATGTTGATAAATTTGTATGTGGTTTTTATAATGCTTTTTAAAGCTTTTAATCTCTGTAAATTGCCCAGTGAGCTTCAACAGTATAGAAATGTGATAAATGATGTGAAATGAACTTTCATTCTTCATGGCCTCCACAGTTTCCTCCCTCCTTTTTTGTTCTAACTCATGGAATTATCTATGTAGGCTGAAAGAGTTGTAAAGATAACCAATGGGTAAATGGGTAGTACAGAAATAAATAAATGAAATAGAGGATGAGATTACGATCCTTTGATGTCTTCTAGAAGAATGAAGGGGAGATTATAAGGTTGGAGCATACAAAATATTTGAATGACAGTTTTTTCTATGTCTTTCTCAGGTTGCAGTTGTTGCAGAGTTTGATCCTGCTCGGATGATGGCTGACACAGTGTCATCAAAAGCTCGGATGGGCATTGGAACAGAGGAAGAATTCATTCTGCAGAAACCTCTGTTTGAGTTGTATACATTCAGCGCAGAGCAGGTAGTTGCATATCTTGTATAGTACATTTTCAGCCACAAACAGTTTAAATGAAGTACAGAATTAAGCCTTGTGTGAAAACTGCTGGTGGGAAGTAATAAGAGTTTTTACTAGGAAGGGAACTCTTCCTTCTCCCACATTGTTCTGTTTGGCTAGTGGGTACAATCCCAACCTATCTGCATGAGTACATGCAGTATCACCAATGATGTAAGCTCTCCATGCAGTCACATACCCCTTAATTCCTGTACCTTGTTGTAGGCAAGCCTAAGATTATAAGCAAGTGTGACAAAAATCCCTATAGCGAAGTAGCAGTGGGGATCCCCCCACCCTCAGGGGGATTTCTCCAGCGGCATGGCTTGGAGCCCAAGCTCCTTTCCTTGGAGCAAGCCCAAGATATGGCCTGGGCCAGATTGGGGTGCTTGCAGGCCAAATTAGGCCAACAACACAGTCTCAGGCAAATAGCAGGAATGGATCTGAAGGGAGAAACTGTAGTTATTTAAATCTGAGATTAGGACTCAGCATGGGTTTAAGTAAATAAACCACTTGTTGGAGGTGTTGCTGATGCTTCACTTCTCCATACATTTTGGCAATACCCAGGCAATGCCTCCTTCCTTTTGGGATGAGGTAATGATTCAGATAAATCTTGTGGTGGCAAGTTCTGAAATATCAAAGGATACACATGTTCTTTTGAATTACTTACCCATCTTTTGGAATCTAATGCAATGTCATTGTAAATGGATTTCCCGTGCCCTCTTGACAGCTAAAAGACTAATATTGCAATATTGGGAGGATAAATGGCTACCTGTAGTAATATAATGGGTGGAGAATTTAATGAAAACTTCAATTATTGAATAAGTAGCTTTTAAATGTTACCTGCAAATGGATAAACATGGATATTCGGAGTATATGATGAAGTATATGTATTATTTGATGAAGTATATGCATTATTATTAATAATGATGATAGAATGCTCCATTATATACTAATAGAACAAATGCTATGGATCTTTTTTCTTTTCTTAAATACTGTTCAAATATTGTAATTTCCCCCTTTTCTTTCTTCTTTTTCATGGTGTAGTTCAGTTGTTTCTGTATTGTACAGTAAAAATAAATAATAAGATTTCAGTTCCCTGATTTTGTACCTACAGCTGCATACAGGTACTAAATCTGATACCCAGTGTTCTTCGTCATGGCCTCTGTGCATCACACATATTTTATTTATTTATTATTTATTAAAACATTTTTATGCCGCCCCATTCACCGAAGCCTCGGGGTGGCTTACAACACTAGATAAAACAATAAGTTAAAATATCCATATAAAATGATCATAATTTAAAACACACATTATAAAATAAGTCGCCCTGGCCAGATAAAATTCAGTTGTATTAGCATTTAAAATGTTGCTTAAATAAAAAGGTCTTTGCCTGGCGCCGAAAAACAAATAACGACGGCGCCAGGCGGACCTCTCTGGGGAGCGCATTCCATAACTTATGGGTGCTGTGCCTGCGCAGTGCCTTTGGCCGGAAGATTGCCAGCTAATGGTTTTCGGCGGGAAGCTCTGCTCCCCCTCCCCTCCGTGGCCTATAAAGAGCGGAGCATCTGCCATTTTGTTCAGTCTTTGCGACTGCCGTTCACTGTGCCTCGTGCCGCTTTCGACTTCGCTCTGACCGTTAGCCTTTCTTCTCGAATATTCCAGTTCTATCCTCCCGGTTTTTTCTCCTTATTCCCTTTAGTTCACTCCATATAGTTCTTGCACTTTCCTTCACTTTTCTCCTTTTTCGATCTATCTAAAAACAAAAAACAAAAATATATACTTACCCTCTGCACTATCTCTCTCTTCTTCTTTTCTATGATGGCGCAGCGAGCAGCTTTCCGCAAATGCGCGGAGTGTGGGTCAAAACTGTCACCAACTGACCCGCATGACCTATGCCTCCTCTGTTTGGGTGAGGGGCATAGGACTGATAAATGCGCTCATTGCCTGGCCTTCTCCAAGCAGGCCAGGAAGAATTGCGAAAACTGCCCTGGAGACTGCCTTGGGATCGGTTCCTTATGCAGTCCAATCCACTGATCTCTGCCCCAAAGCCTGGCTCCGCTTCTGTGGCCCCACCTTCATGCCCTTCGGACAGAGGCGCGTCTGCTTCAGTGGCTCCCTCTGAAGGTGGCTCCCTCCAGAAGAAGCATGAGAAGCGAAAGCATGCTGAACCCGAAAAGTCAGCAGGTCATAAGAAGGCCAGAAAGGAGAAAGTCTCCAAGCCTCCTAAGAAACCGAGGGACTCGGACCATCCCAGTCACCGGGATTCGGATTCGACGGCCCCCTCGGTACCAGCGGCTCTTACAGTACCAACTCCGCCCGACCCAGTTATTCAGGAGGCTATGCGGGTCACCCCTCAAGGGTCCCCGTGCCGCGCGGCTGACCTCCCATCTGCGCCCCTTCCAACTCTGCAAAGGGGCTTGATATCTGATGGGGAAATTCAGGACTCTCCCCCTAGGGCTTGGTCGCCTACACCCATGCCCGCGGCTACTATGGAGGCAGATGTTAGAATGTCCCCACCAGGGAGCTGAAGGAGCCGCTCCATCAACATTCAGAGGAATGGCGTCACCCCTACTACCATACTTGGGGTGACCCGCTTTCTATGGGATACTACCCTGCTCCTAGGGGGCGGTCCTCTCTGCCATCCTGTGACCGGCCACATCCATCGGACCCGAGACGGGCATCCCCACGATCACCCCGGGATGAAAGCAGCCGCTTCCCCAGCGGAGTCTTCGTCATCGGCCCCACCTTACTAAGGTGCCGATTCCGACGATTCAGAGGTCGACTCAACCTCCCCAGATGTCGCCGTCACATCCCAGGGTCCTGCGTCACCAGAGGAATCCCACGTCTCCTTCGTGGAGCTGATGTCCAGACTTGTCCAGTCCCTCGATATCGACGCCATCCAGCATCCGGGACCGACAACGGACAAGTTCTACGACGTCATCTACAGGGGACAGTCGACATCGATCGTCCTGCCACTCATAACCACCCTTCGGCAAGTGATGACGCAGCCCTGGGACTTGCCCTCTCATCCTCAACCTATGTCCAGGAGATACGAGTTGATGTACCTGGTTCGGGAGGAGGACATTCCCTTCCTTCCCCGCCACCCCAAGCCGAACTCAGTGGTCGTGGAATCCTCCCAGGGCAGAGAGGCAAGAGAGCACATGGCACCGCGGGACAAGGAGGGCCGAAAGATTGACTCCCTGGCTAGGCGAGTCTACGCTGCTTCAGGCCTGGGGCTGCGGATCTCTAATTACGAGGTGACATTGGCAAGGTACCAGTACTTCATTATGCAGCGCCTCCACAACGTCGCCTCGACCCTCCCGGACCACCAAGGAGACCTGGCTAAGGTCCTAATCAAGGAGGCTATGCAGGTCACGGTGCAGCAGTTGTCCACGGCCAGGCACCACGTGGACACAGACTCACGGGCCTTGGTCGGTGCCGTTTCGCTTCGGAGACACGCCTGGCTCAGAAACTGCAATTTTCCGGAGGAAACAAAGCGCCGAATAGAGGAAATGCCCTTCAACGGGTCCAGGCTTTTCCACTCTCACACCGACCACAAGCTAAAGAAGCTGCATGAATCCCAGATGACAGCACGCAGGATGGAGATACAGACCCAAACTAGAGGTAAGTAGTCATGGAATCTTCCATCCTACAGGCAGTCTTATCAACCAAGACAACAACCCCAGCATCGTCAGCAACAACAACAACAGCACCGCTGTCCGCAGCCCCAACAACACTACCAACAAGGCCGCCGCCGTTTCGATGACCGGAGGCAGCGTTGACGGGACTGGTGAACCATTCCTCAAACTCCTACTATACCCACCCCGCTCTCATCTGGGGATTGGCTCCAAAGCCGACTCCCCATTTGGGAGTTCATCACATCTGATCGGTGGGTATTATCCATCGTTCAGCACGGCTATCGGATAGAATTCAACATCGTTCCTCCATTGAGTCCGATACGGTTTACATCATGTTCACCGGTATTGCTCGACGAAATGCATCAACTTCTTCGTAAAGGAGCGATTCGTCAAATACTCCCATCTGACGGACTCCACGGATTCTATTCCAGATACTTTACAGTCCCAAAGCGGGATGGTGGTCTACGTCCGATTTTGGATTTACGTAACCTGAATCGATTTATTGTTCCGAAAAAGTTTTGGATGACCACCCTACAAAACATCTTGCCGTTGCTAAGGAAAGCGGATTGGTTCGCCTCATTGGACTTGAAGGATGCCTATTTCCACATTTCAATCCACCCGAGTTATAGGCGTTTCCTTCGTTTTGCTGTTGCACCTCATCTCTATGAATTTACAGTTTTGCCCTTTGGACTGGCTACGGCTCCGAGGGTATTTACCAAATGTATGACCCTTGTCTGTGCCTTCCTACGCCTCCAAGGCATACAGATTTACCCATACCTTGATGACTGCCTGTTAGTGTCACAGTCCAGGGAGGGACTCCTTGCGTCTATTCGTACAACCTGTGCCTTATTGAATGACCTGGGCCTACGTATTAATACCGAGAAATCTTCTCTTCTTCCGACGCAGATGCTCACCTTCATTGGAGCCCGCTTGGATTCGACTTTGGAAAAAGCCTTCCTTCCTCGGGACAGACAACACACTCTTGCTCACCACATCCGTCGAATGCGACGAGACACGGTCCTGGCGAAGTCCATCCAGAGGATCCTAGGACATATGGCTTCCTTGGTTGCTGTAGTTCCGCACACCAGGCTTCGACTCCGTCCACTACAACTTTTTTTCAACAAGGTGTACCACCCTCAGAGAGACCCACCGTCGAAGTTGATTCGAATCCCATCTTCCGTGCTCCATTCTCTACTTTGGTGGTCGGTACCGGCCAATCTGACTGTTGGAGTCCCCTTCAGGGCGTGGCCTCCTTCGATAACCTTCGGTACCGACGCACCTCTTCTGGGATGGGGAGCGATATGCTCCAGACTATATACCCAAGGCACGTGGAATCGTCAAGAATCCACGAATCATATCAACTTCCTGGAGATACTGGTGGTATTCAAAGCCCTGTGTTCTTTCGAGGACATTCTTCAACATCGGGTCGTTCAGATAACTTCGGACAATGTAGCTACCGTCTTCTATCTGAACAAGCAGGGGGGAACGAAGTCACCAACCCTGGCCAGACTTTCCATGAAAATCTGGGACCAGTGCATTCCGAGAGGCATCACTCTGAGGACTGTCCATCTCGCTGGTGCAGACAATGTGCAGGCAGATCTTCTCAGCAGGCACATGTTCACCTCTCACAAATGGGAGCTAGATCCTCGCAAATGCAACCATCTTTTCCAGTGCTGGGGGTTTCCCGACGTGGACTTATTAGCCACTCGACAGAACAGAGTGTGCAATGCTTACTGCTCGAGAGCGGGAATCGGACATGCATCCTTAGGGGACGCCTTCATGATCCTGTGGAACAACATGACCTTCTATGCCTTCCCCCCGATCCCTCTTGTGATGCAGGTCACAGCGAAAATAGTGCACGACCGGGCATCGGGGATACTAGTTGCCCCTTGCTGGCCATGTCAAGCTTGGTTTGCGACACTACTCGGCATCTCTCAGGGGGAATATCTTCATCTACCGTTGCTTCCATATCTCATAACCCAAAAGGACGGTATGCTTCGCCACCCGGACTTGCTTTCACTGAATGTAACAGCGTGGCACATCCGATGACTACCATCGTTCCCTCGGTACCGACGACAATTTCAACCAGTTCGAATCCAGTCGTCGAATCCAACCACTTGGGTGCTTCCTCTTCTCCTTCATTCTTTGTTCATTCTGTACCATCAGATTCGAGACACGACTCGTCGAATTCTACAGCTTTGCACCCTGACATCCAACATATCATCGATTCTGCCTTAAAGCCGTCCACAAGGAAATCATATGCGGCGAAATGGAAGCGTTTTTCCACCTTTGCCGAGTCTCGCTCGTTCTCCCCATTCAGGTCATCCATACATCAAATCCTTCAGTTCCTATTGGAACTGCACCATTCTGGACTAAAACCGTCGTCTATTAAAGTATATACGGCAGCAATAGCCTACTACCATGGCTTAGTTGACAGATCACCTCTCTTTTCTCAACCTATTCTCAAGAGATTTCTAAAGGGACTATATAATCTTAATCCATCAATCAAACCAGTGATGCCTACCTGGAGTCTTTCTGTCGTTCTACAAGCCCTTATGAAAGCCCCCTTTGAACTATTGGTGACAGTGGATCTGCGCCTCGTTTCATGGAAAACAGCGTTTCTCGTGGCTGTCACTTCAGCCCGAAGGGCCAGTGAACTTTGCGCTCTCTGCATAGACCCTCCTTATTTGAACTTTCACAGGGAGAAGGTCGTTTTACGCCTTGACCCGTCTTTTCTGCCTAAAGTGACTACGCCTTTTCATACGGGACAAGATATTGTGTTATCTGCCTTTTTTCCGTCACCGTCGACTCCACTAGAGAGATCTTTGCATTCACTTGATGTTCGGCATTGCTTAGCCTTTTACAGATCGAGGACTGAGTCTATTCAACATTCAAATAAACTGTTCATTAAATATTCCACTAGAGATCAGGGCGATCCAATCACGCCACAGAGACTTTCCAAATGGATAGTCCACACTATAGTCTTATCTTATCAACTAGCTAAGCTCGATCTGCCTTCAGTCCCTCGAGGCCATTCCACTAGGGCCGTTGCTACCTCATCTGCCTTTGCATCCGGGGTCTCACTTGATGATGTATGCCGAGCTGCTACTTGGGCAAACCCTTGCACCTTCGCCAGACACTACCGTCTTGATGTTCGGGCTCGACGGGATTGCTCCTTTGGCAGAGCTGTTCTTTCGTCTGTTCTTCACTGAGGACACCTTCCCTCCTCCTTTATGGTAAGCTTGTTAATCTACCCATATGTGTGATGCACAGAGGCCACGACGAAGAAAAGCAGGTTGCTTACCTGTAACTGATGTTCTTCGAGTGGCCATCTGTGCAGTCACACAACCCACCCGCTGGCCCCGCTCGGTGTCAGTGAGTGGATACATCCATCGGTACCGATACATCTATCAGTACAGATGATTCCATTGTTAACTTCTGAAATTCCAAAAAAAAAAATCTACGAGGGGGCGCACGTTCGGTCGCAAAGACTGAACAAAATGGCGGATGCTCCGCTCTTTATAGGCCACGGGGGGGGGGGGGAGCGGAGCTTCCTGCCAAATACCGTTAGCTGGCAATCTTCTGGCCAAAGGCACTGTGCAGGCGCAGCTCCCATATGTGTGACTGCACAGATGGCCACTCGAAGAACATCAGTTACAGGTAAGCAACCTGCTTTTCTAATTGTTTTAATCAAATCAGTGTTCAGGGGGCAAATACCATGTTCCTAAAAACATATAGGTATATGGATAACATGGGATGCTATTATATGTATCACCATGGTCTATTAGCATTTGCATCTGTTAGCACAATCTAATAGACTGGTATGCTATATGTCATCATTGAGACAGCAACTTATTTCCAGGGTAAATGGTCCATATATTACAGCTACATGTTTATCTGTAACCTTCCCTTCCCTTCCCTTCCCTTCCCTTCCCTTCCCTTCCCTTCCCTTCCCTTCCCTTCCTTCTTTTTAAAAACAGATCATTTCTGACACCCGGGTTCGGGTAGAACTAGCTCTTCGAGAGGCTGGACTTCATAGAACACATTATGCTCAAGAACTTTTGCCTAAAATCCCTCCCCCTAAACTGCCAAGAAAAGACATGGAGTCCACGGATTTTAAAGTGTAGGACTGGAAACTCAACAAATGCTTTTTATCATTCTCTTTTATCATTCTCTCTTGTTGAATAAGTATCCTTAAATAAATAATTTTAACTCAGGAAATAAGTTGAATGATGATCTGTGGAGATTGGTGTTTTTCACTTTAAACAAAAAGTTAAGTCATGTTGGAGCTTAGTGCTCAGTGGACCTTTTCTTTCCCACTTCCACACAAACTTGAGCATTTCTCTGGTAGTGCATATTCTTGGGAACATGGTTTACTGAAGCTGTAGTCTAATTATTTCAGAGGAAATCTTCCTTCTAGATGAAAATCCCCCCCCCCAAAAAAAAAAAAAAACCCTGCTGGATAAACACATCCACAAAGGGATGTGAGAACCAGGGTAGAGAACCTGGGTAGTGTACTGAATACAATGGTACTGAAGTGGGTTCAAATCTCCACTTTCCACAAACCTCACCAGCCAACCTTAAGCCAGCCTCTTAAACTGTTGGAAGGGGAAAAGATAACTGGATGTTTTATTTACATCTGTACATACCGTTTAACTTCTCCTTTGTCTTCTCCATCCCTGAAACATACTTCCTGTTGTTTGCTTGCAGCCCAGAATGTGGAATGTGCAGGGATGCAAAGAACAGATTCCCTTTCCAGCTATGCCCAGAACAACAAATGCAATCCAAATGTTTGGGGCAGGGCGGGGCGGTGGTGGTGGCAACCACACAGCCTCCTTCCTTTGGATGGGCAGGGGGCCAAACAGTTTGTAGCCTTTCTTTCTTTTCCTACCACTTCTTCTGTCTTTTTTCTTATCAGGAAAAAGAAAGTGTGTCAAGGATCGAAATACAGGATAGCTGCACTGTTATGCTCGGAATCCTCTGACTGGAAACATCCTATGTCTTCAGTGCACTATATATCTTCCAAAATAGACTTGCTTATTTTATTTAATATTTTTCTAGCCTGCCTTTCAGGGCAGGAGCCCTCCCAAGGTGGCATGGAACAATAACATTCGTATAATAAAAGCCAGTGAAGTAATCAAACAACAAACATTCAGGAAAACAGCAGGCAAAATCTAAATAGCTTGTAGCACCTACTTATAGTATCCCATGTCACTTTCATTGCAAGTTCTATGATTTGATTTTGCTGGCCTTATTAATATGAACGACTATTGCTTGATTATGATTATAAATGGAAATAGAAGCATTCTCTACTTGTAGAAGCCAATTTGATTCATCATGTTTACTGCAAACCAATCATCCAAACAATTTCATTTTGCAAATTAGCCCTTGAGAATAAATTACAAAATTAAAAAGATTGTTTCACTGGGGGGGCTTTATTATGGTGCAGCAGAGAACCCTGTTTGTTCTGCTGGATGAGAGTGAACTTGATAAGCCATTTCATTTTATAACACTAAAAGTGTTTCCAGACCTTATGCAGCATGCATATGAAATGTATGTAAACAAGGTGAATCAAGTCTGTAGCTTGCCAATTAGTCACTGTTCAAACAATTTATCTCTTGGGTTGAAAACTGGATGGAGGTTCACTGGGCAGCAGCTGAGAAGAAAGCTGCATATATCTTAAAGAGCCAAAAGTGACAGCTATCTTTTTGATGCAGTGTTTCTAAATGCTGCAGTCTCACCAAGGAGACGAAAAGAAACAAATTGTAGATCTCTGCACTGGCACATTTCAAATGTCAGTCCCAGGCCTAGTATTTTCTCTGAGGGTTCAATTGTAGCTGAGAGGAACAACCCTGCAGGTCTCAGCAGGGCTTAATCATAGTTAAGCAGATTTGAGGGCTGAATGCTATTCATCCTGGTTTGTGCTGACAGCCAAGTCCTGGTCAACATCATGTCATTTAAGTAAGTTGTTCACAGTCATTTTCCACTTGCTAGTTCTCCTCAATATAGAAAAGCCTTGTGGGCACTTCAGGAAGAACCGTGCTGAAAAGGAAGTCTCTCTGTTAGAGCTCTTCAGTTAGCCAGAAAAGAATCCCCCATTTTATGATATATAAACATTATTCAAGGCATTTCTTAAGCTTCCTCAGTACTTGGATATTTTGTTCCTGTGTAGACTTGGAACTGCACAGGAAAGTGACTGGCAAAATAAACGATCAAGTGAGAAAAATGCTTTAAAGCAGAAAACGCTGCCAACTTTCTGACTAATACCAAAACATCTTGTGTGAATGAGAGACAAAAGTACATGTGAAGTCAACTCTGTGGAAGTAAACCACCCTGTTCACATCTAACAGCCCTGAATACATGAACTAGTCACAATCATTCCAGTTAATCCTACCTGAGCTGGAATGTGGCTTTTAAAGCAACTGCAGTGTTGGGTTACACTTGGACTGGGCAGTGACTCATAGCAGCTATAATGCCCAGAAGCAATGAATAAAGACAGGCAGAAAGCTCCCCATCATTCACCATCTTTCAGGAATGTGTCACTATAATTCTGGGAGGACAGGAGACCCTGGAGGGGCATTTGGGGAGGCAGCTTGCTGGTCCAATTAAAATACCTTAGAAAGCTCTTTTCCTTCAGGTTTGTTCCCATTTCCTTTTCCCCCTCCTAAAAAGTGCCAGTTGTTTGGGGGAATGTGCAAGAATTGTGCCTTTCCAGAAGGATTTTCTAGAACAGGAGGGTAACTATCCTGGAGATGTCATAAACAGAAAGGCTGGAGCTAATTTTAATGGCTGAGTTGCATACAATTAATATAATTCATATATCATTTTTATGAACAGGTTTGATGTGAAACTACAGATATTGGACATTGTGTCACCTATTCAGAAGTTATTTATATGTATTATTTATTTGATTTGTACCCCACCGTTCTATTGGCAAAAAGTTGCTCCCTTACATTGAGTAAGGGCTACTTCTCATGTTACTCTCTATGGGTACCTGCAAATATTTTCATATGAGCCTTTTAAAATAGTGATGTATAGATGACTCAAGCTGAATGTATTATATAGTTAAGTTTGCTGGGGTTTCCTATAGTTCCCTAATCAAATATACATAGCTAAAGAAGGATCCTTTCCACAGGAGGAAGCATTTGCCCTGCTGCTACTCAATCTGTTAAAAGTCGAATGAAGATGGTAGTTTCAGTTGGCACTTAATGCAGTGCTATATTTCTTGAAATGGTTGTTCAGGGGCTGGTCCAGCGGTCAAACTTCTAAACATATGTTTACTCAGTAAACATTCAGTTCCGAATGGTGATTGTATTGCAAAACTATGGTGGAAATGCCTGTGGCTTCTGCATAATGAAGCCAAGCAAGTAAATGGGAAAGCTGAACCAAAGAATTAAAGTTTAAAGATCAGTATTGGTAAAGCAACGAGTTCTCTTTTATTTTCAGTCCTTTTAAAGTTTTATAATTGCATTTTTATCTTATCTTGACAACCATCTGGCTTGGCAAAGCCCTGTCCAAGAAGGGATTGTACAAGGTTATCTAGCTGTGATGAATGCAGCCTTCTCTTCCTCAAGAACAGCCTTGGGGACAGGAATTCCTGGTGAGTTGGGGAGAGGGGACGTGGAGCTTTGCCTGTGGAGGGCAGATGATGGCCCCAGTGGGACAGAGAAGATGCCCTTTTCAATGGGATCTGGTTCAGGATTGGTGTGCATACAGTTTTCCGAGGAGGAGAAGGAATGGTTCGTTGTTTTCTGTCTGTAGAAGGGAAACAAGGAAAAACAGACAACCATTTCTTATCTGTTAACTTAATACAGAATACATGACATTAAAAAAACTGGTCCCTTGGTCAGTCCTGTGTCACCAGCTGCCTTCTAGTCTGGTCTAGGCAATTGCCTGTGCTGTCTTTGCAGCTTGTTTGTATAGTCAGTGCCAGAAGCTGGGCTTTTATATATTTGCTCCAAAGTATGTATGTATGTATGTATGTATGCATTTCATATGGTGTTGGTACAATTAGCCAGGAGGTCTACAGTGCTAATGCAGAGTATGTTGGCTGCCTATTTGCTCCATGAACCTACTTCCTGAAGAGGTAAGGAACATTAACTCAGCCATGAAACTGAGTGACTTTGGCCCAGTCAGGCACTCAGTCCAGTCTACCTCACAGGGCTGTTGTGAGGATAAGATTGAGAGGAGAAACACAATCTCTTTTCTTGAGTTCCTTGAACAGAGAAAGGGTGGGATAGAAATATAACAACTATTTGTGGCTTTTCGGGGTGTGGGGGCATCATCATCATCATCATCATCATCATTATTATTATTATTATTATTATAACATTTCTATGCCGCCCCTTGCCGAAGCCTCGGGGCGGCTTACAACACAATAAAATACATTGAAATACAATAGAACATAATAAATTACCATTAAATACAAAAATACAAAAAATACACTGAGTTTCAAACATAATAATATAAAGTTAAAATTAACAGTATAAAATAAGTAAATAAATAATATAGGAGGAGAAAAGAGAAGGAAGAAGAAGTTGCCCTGGCCAGATCATATATTTTAACAATGAAAATGATGTTTAAATAAAAAGGTCTTTACCTGGCGCCGAAAAACCAGTAACGACGGTGCCAGGTGGACCTCTTTGGGGAATGTGCACTGCATGGCATCCAGCAGACTTTTGACTGAGATCCAGCTTTCTGTGACTACAAACATGTTGATGGTGCTGTGTCGATGTTCTGAAGCTGGTTTTTTAAAACCGTATTTTTTCAGGATGCCCCTTTGATCATCGCTCAGTGGCAGAGCAGCGCCTGCTTTGCAAGCAGGAGGTCTCAGATTCAGTGTCCAGCATCTCCAGGCAGGGCTGGGAAGGAAATCCTACTGGGTGACTTGAACCTCTGCCAGACCATGCTGATGATATTGGGACTGGTGGGTCAAAGGTCTGACTCCACACAGCAGCTTCCTATGGAAAAGTAATAGCGATCAGTTTTAATAAATAAAAATGCTGACAAGAATCTTACAAAACTTTAGCACCCAACCAGAAAATTATGCTACTTGGGCAGAGGTGCAGTTATCCTACTGCTTGGCATAATATGTCCATGGTGGGATGTTACTACTGGTGGGGT